TTTATTTTTAATTTGAGACAGGGTCTCCCTAAATTGCCTAGTCTGATATTGAACTTATGATCCTCCTGCCTTAGCCTCAAGAATAGCTGGGATTACAGACATGTACCACCACATCCCACTTAGGTTGATGTTTGTTAACTTCATTACTTCTGCAAAACATCTAATCATTCCATGTCATATATATGAGTTAATGGATGTAACTAAGAGTCCAAGGTAACAGGAAATATGCTGGAACAAATCTGCTGGAAGGGGAAGAAGACTGCACTAATTTTCTAATCTAACAATAAAGGGATTCAAAAAAGATGACTTTCCACATTGAACAAATACTCTAAATTTCTATTAAATATTAGAATTTTGCCATATCCATGTCAGTCAGTAATTGGTACTGTAATATTCTTTGATGTTAACATCACTGAGATACTGATTATCTATAAGGAAAGCATGCCAAGATCTGTGTATTTGATGTTTCTGTTTTCCACAGGTCATACCTGGATAGAGTCTGTAACTTGAAAGGCATCCTGTTGACTTCAGAGAATTTTAAGTTGAGTGAGACAGTCACTGTTGTCTCCCCAAAACAACCCAACATTCTCACATAGTGAATTTATAATATAAAGGGATTTGTCCATGCACTTAAGCAAAATGTTTTTCCATTTATTTCAAATACTATGCATGAAGAAAATTGTTATAGGTGTAATCTTCTCTACTTATTTTTTTTATAAATGTTAAGAGCATAGTTCCTCTAAAATCTGGCATATAAAAGAAAGTTTTGATTGCCAACAACACATTACTGACATACAAAAGGGTCACATAATGCAAACTACATAAGCTATAGCTGCTGTTCACTCAGATAGGCAACTTGGGGAATATTAGATTTCTCTTTTAGACAATTATTCCAGCAATATACAAGTGATTATCATAAGGATCACTTTAAAAGAGTATAAAATTAGACATTGGGTAGAACTTTAGAATTATAAAGTTTAAGGGAAAAAATTAAAAAGGAAACAAAAATGAAGAGAATATAAGAAAAGAAAGTCAGCCATCTCTGGTTTCTTTGAGTCATCCTCTCCTACTTGGACTAAACCTTTTTATTAATTAATTAGTAAGTATTCTCAAGTACTCCTTGATAACTAAAGCTTCCATTATGCCTTACTAACCTTTCAAACCATTGTTCTCTTCCTTTTATTGTTACCATACATCTTGAAAAAGTTGTTCCCTCTCACTTTATTTCCTTCTTCCCTCGCTCCCCACAAATCTATGTACACTGCTCTTCTCAAACTGTTGCCATGAGAACCATGGATAATCTCTGCTCTGCCAAATTTAGTAGACATACTTTTCAACATTTATCTTGCTCAACCTCTCTGTGACTTCTGGAAACACTAACTGCTTACTCTGTTTTGAAATTCTGTCCTCCCTTGCCTTCTGGGGTGCTGACTCCTGACTTTCAGACTTTTCTGCCACTACTTGCCAGTAGGCACTGTCCCCATCTACCCGGTGGTGCTGTATTTCAATATTCCTCCAGGCACAAGTTTTCTTTTTCTAACATTCAGGTTGAGTAATTTCATTCATTTCCATGACTCTGGCCATCACCAGTATGCTGACATGTACATCTCCAACAGAGTTCCTGACATTCTGACACGGCCATTTTGATTAAGCCTTGAGAACAAACCTTTTCATTTTGACTCTTATAATACTCAAAACTGACAGTCTCATCCTATAGCTGAATTTTGTTCCATAAAATGAAGTATGATTTATTTTTGAATTCTCCAGTAAGTCTTCCAGAGAAAAATAGTTTATAGAAAGCTTTAATGCAACTTTTACAAACAATGATCCTCCAATTCCTACTATGAAGTTAGCAAAATCTGACAAAACTAGACCAATTCAAGTTGAATGTGAAGTACAAACATACCCTGACTATAAGTAGAATCGCAAAATCCCAATATTAGCAATTTAAATTCAGCATTATGTTAAATGTATGGTTTGTTCAGTAATGCTACAAGAAAAAAACATGACCATGTAAATAAATGCCTAGTAGTCATTTGATAAGATTCAAAATTTTCTCCCAAGCTCAGACTTGGAAATCAAACAGAGCAGATCTAGAGTTAAAGGTTATTCACTCCTATAGTTGCTTTGTTTCCATTGAACAGGTCAATTAACTTTTTCTGGGCCCTTATTTCACTACAAAATGGATTAAAATTATCTTAAATCTCTGGTTTAAAATAACATGCCATCTTTTCCTTGTCAAACATTTTTCATTTTTGGAATTACAAATTTAACATTTGCTTTTCACACCAGACTGAAGCCACCTTAAAGACATACATCGTTATTCATGTGTAACAACATTTGTAGAGTGCATGGCCAGTTACAAAATTTGTGAGACCCAGTGCAAAGTGAAAATGTTAAAAAATAATTAAGAATTTCAACACAGTGACAGCAGAGTAGTAAACAAAAGAGGGGTCCTTCAAAGCACAAGACCCTGCAGAACTACATAGAGCCCATGTCCCTAACATTGTCTTTGCGTGAGCATGCCTGTGTACGTGCATGTGTGTATTTGAAACAAGTTTAATATTTGGTTGGAAAATTAAATCACAGGAACTTCAGAAAATATCTAGGGTTAGTACACTATATAGAATTCAGATTCCAGCCTATAAAGAGTAGTCATATTAAGTTGGACAAAGATAGTACAGTTAATAGGAAAATATTTTCAGGTTAAAAATAATTGACCATTTTGACTGCAGATTGTAGAATATTAAAAAGAAATTGGTTAACTTACAACAATTTTCTCTTTAGGTTGACATCATTTCATTTCAATATTTTTCTATTATAAGAATATTATCTTCCCTTTTAAAATTTAATGATAATAATTCATAAAATTTATATTTGTCTCCTTTTTGGCTTTTTTGCACAATTCATTGGTTCTATGAGCAAGCATAATAATAACTGCTCCATTTCTTTAATCATAAATCATTAGCAATTTAGCAATTTAAAAAAAAACTTTATCCTTTCCCGTCTGTGAGATAAATAATTGTTTTCAGTTAATCAAAATTACAATAGCTAACTTAAGGCTTTGGGAATTTTTACAAATGATATTGATTTTGTGATAGAATTCTCTATAATTTGATGTAGTTAGAAGGTGCATCTATTAACATAATCATAAAAATCCCAAATGCTTTCAGAATATTCTCTTCAAAAGGCAGTGTCCAGTGAGAAATTTACATCTCTCCTGGAACTCTAAATATTTTCCCCCAAAGTTTGCTTATGCAAAGGCCCTTATTCTGCCAGGCTTTATGGTGATTGCAAAAAGGAAGACAGATTTCCTCCTGTGCAAGTTGTTGATGGATGCTCTTGTATTCTGTCCCTGAAATGTTTGAAAACAGAAGAAGGGGGGAAAAGAGCAAGCCATGAGTCATTACATGCCTCCATGCTTCTGTCAGAGATTTAAATAACTAATTAGTAACCCAGGCATGCTTTGTTATAGAATTTATCTTCAACAGTCACTTCAGCTTCATCTCTCCCTACTCCCTACTCCTCATTTAGTTCCAAAAAAAAAAAAAATAGAAATAGTTGGCTTTTCCCATTCTGTTCTGTCTCCTGGTCTCATTTGTTTCCCTTGTCTCTTCCACTTTTCTTCTAGTTCCTTTCTGCCTTCACTATACATTCTCTATTTTTCTCCTAATTCTGCTAGGTAAACTGTCACATTTACTTAAGGAAGTCTCTGATTCCACCCCTGTGAAGCCAAATGAGAAAATGTTCTACCTCACAGGAAGTTTTGCATATTTGGGGCAATATATGTAAAATGCTTAGCACAATATTGCCACAGAGCAATTTTCATGCCATCATTCTCTCTCATGTTGTCAATTAGCAATACTGAATGCCAACCATGTGCTTACACACTGCTTTAAATGGAAGCAAGCTTCCCTGGGCACAGGGAAGAAAAGGCCTATATGACTGCAGCATAATGAGGTTGAAATGGGTAACAGAGAGTGTGGTAGGATCCCATCACACAGGGCCTTGAGGACCTGGTACACAGTGGGAAGTGGTCAGAGGGTGAGAAGTGCAATCAGGTATCATGCCTCTCTGAGAAGGGGTTTTGGGAGAGAGGGAAAGCTGGAAGATTCCCTGGACAGCCTTTGTAGTCATCTGGCAGGGTTTATTTTGGAGGTGGCACTGACAGGACTTGCCAATAAATTGGTTGTGGGAAAAAAAGATAAGAGGAATCAAAAGATCCAAGTTTCAGGCTTGAGTCAGTTGTCTAACTCTCTAATTCATTGCTGTTTTCTTTATCTCCCTCCTTATTCTTTGTCTCTTTTCCTTGCTACACTATTACAGAAGCTCTTTACCAAATCCAAGTTCATTCCTGCTCAAGTGTCAATTTAGAAGTCACAACTCCAGAAACCTCTCCTGAGTTCCCCACTGTGGGGCAGGGGCACGCCCACATGTCGTCATCACCCTCCCAGCATCAATTTCTATTTACTTGTACTGTTTGCAAGGTCTTCCTTCTAACACAAGGATTCTCAACATGAACTTTGGAGCCAGAATATAGCAGGGTTTGTATTTTTTTTGTTTTTGTCTTAATTCTCTCTAAGTAAACTGGCATATCACTTAAAGAAGTGTCTGATTCACATATGTGAAGTGCAAATAAGAAAATATCCTACCTCATAGAAAGGTTTGCATGGGACAATATATGTAAAATGCTTAACACAATATTTGGCACAGAGCAAATGCTAAATAAACAATAACCTTTATCCCTACATTACTGGTTTACATAACCCACCTTCATTTAAGCAGGATTTCTGCAAAATAGTAGCAGAAACAAAACTAAAGCAGGAAATACTTAGGTAATTCAGGTCTAAGAAGAAATTAACTCCTCAGTGACACACAATCAAAATGGATAGTTGGAATTATTAGCCATCCATGTCAGATACACATGTGGAAGTTATAGTAATTTTCCATGTCCTCCACTTTAGTTGAGTTTTGATTATCTAAAGGTAGCACTTACCTACCCGATTAGGTGGGGCCGCAGAATTGTTTTTCCTTAAGGTCCCACCTGAGTATGTACATGTACAAAAGAGAGAGAAAGAAACTGATTAGAGAGATTGGAGAGGCAGAGGGCGTGATCCTCTTAATCATTCTTCACTTCCTTTTTTTATAAGATGACTTGGCAACGTTTGTCACATCCGCGGCAGAAGCGGCGACGCCTCCTCTGTGGCGTCCGCTTGCAATTGCCCAGCTTTCGCCCTGCACATTTGTGGTTTTCGGGAACACATTAGCAACCAATGGTTTTAGCTCTCGGTGGCCCAAGAGTTGCCAAGGCGGCTAAGAGTCATCTGAAAAGTCTTTTACCCTGAATCGCTCTGAATCAGAAGGCCACCTGATTTCTCCTGCGGTACTTGGCAAATTTGCACCTCCCTCTGGTCCTGGTCCAGCTGCATGGGAAGTGCTAAGGAAGAACACGGGCGCCCAACAGTGAGGAGATGGTAAAGGCGTCCAGAGGATAAACTTAAAGATCGATCCTACAGACCAAGCCGAAAGAAGAAACTGAAAGTACACTGCCGGCTGATCCTACGGAAGTTATGGAAAAGGCAAAGCACAGAGCCAGGCTGTGATGTGTGCCGCCCCTCCTGGGATGGATGAAACAACAGGCGCGCCACGGGTGAAAGAAACCAGCTGCAGAGACTGGCCTATCCAGCGCGGACTTGTGTCAACTCCGCGTAAGACCATGGTCCTGGGAGTGATTGTGGGTGAGAGCGTGCTCCTGCTGCAGTTGCGGTCATCATGACTACGCCCACCTCCCGCAGACAATGTTCCATGGTAAGCGCTCTTCTCCCGGGCGCACAAGTTCGCGCGCCAAGCGCGCCTGGGGACTCCCGGACGCGCTGCGATTCTCCCCACCCCCCAGAGCCAAGGCACGTCCGGGAATAGCCCGGCTTGCACTTTGGACCTGCAGAGAACACTGCCTCTCCCGTGGTCAGCCGCTACCCACTCCTGAGTACAATGGTCCGTAGTCATTTGCATCTGGGTTTGCTGTCCCTAGCGAGCTGTGAAAAGCAGTCCCGAGGCTTACCTTCTGTCCGAGACTAAGCGCTGCAACCTCCGCGCCGCTCAGCAGGGGCAACCTACAGCCAGATCTCAGAGGCAGTCAGTGACTTCCAAAGAAAGTCTGTCTGTCCCTAGCCAGCGTCGCCCTGGGCGAACACTGAGCCAAACTAGCCCTACCCGTGCTCCAGGCAGCGCGAAGTTACTTACAGGCAGCCTAGGTTCAGCGAGTGAGTAGCTGGGTTCTTGCAGCTCCGAACTTCCTAGAGAACTGAAAGCGAAGCTCCCTGGGGACGCGCTTTTAAGCCCTAAGGGACAGGTCTCCGTAAAACCCCGTTTTTCCCCCTCAGTGGGGCTGGGAGTTTCCATCTGGGGCTGTACCCTGCGCTGTTTGCTGGGAACTCATGTCCTGCAATTTGCATTGAAAATAGCCAGATGTTGCTTTGTCCTATATGCTCGATCCTTGATGGAGGCAGGATTAAATAGATTTCCTTCTAAATTGTAAACCCCTGATGATATCTGCTAGATTTTATTTCCGCCGAAAAAGGACTTAAAACGGAGAAGGACAGAATTAACGTGGGTTGGATCCCATTTGGCAGCCATGTGGCTAATGTAAGGGGCTAACATAAATAAATTAAAAATACTGGAATTAAACAGAGGAGAAAGGTATGTGAGGGGAGAGGATCTACTTAGGGAAATTGGCATGTTTTACTATAAGCACTTCATTAAGCTAGAAGACCTGTGGGAGAAGGTGGAAGAATAGGGAGCCAGCTTTCTGCTCTTCCTTTTGATGCTCTGTGTACTTCCGTGACTATTCTGTTAGATCAAGATTCATTTCCCATCTCATAGATATTAAAACACCTAGAATTGACATAACTAGGGGAAATAGCTCAGTAACAAAAAAAAGGGGGGGGGAGGAGGAGCATGAAATAATATCAAAGACAATTATGGATCTGTTAGAAAAGTGCTCCAGAAGTTTAAATGTAGAATTAGAAATGGAGCTGTATCTGTGTTTTCTATGCAATGCCCTTGGTTTCACCTGCAATTACTTCTTTCTGGTTCTCTCCTGATTCTAATCCTTGAATTACCTCTTATCAAAAGTAGAGACATAAAAAGACAAAAGAAACTCAGGGTGTATACTTTTAGTAAGGAAACTTTATTTTTGGATGTACATCTATATTAATGCATCATAAACTACTAATAGCAAACAAAATATTAAAATTCTAAACTTCTAATGTGTTATAATGTAATTATTATATTGAGTGGTTTTCTACATCTTGGTTCCAAGTGATTTTATGAGAAGTTCAAACTCCAAGACTGTACATAGGAATACCGTTTACATCTCTTTCTTTGCTCTTTCTTTTGAGAGGTGAAGTAGATAAGCCCAGTGTGGTGATGCCCACCTGTGATTCCAGCCATTTGAAAGGCTGAAGCAGGAGGACTGCATGTTCAAGGCCATCCTAAGCAACTTAAGGAGGCCCTGTCTCAAAAAAATAAAAATAAAAAGGACTGGAGATGTAGCTCAATGGTGAAGCAATCCTGGGTTCAAACCTCAGTACCAAGAAAAAAAAATAAGAAACCCCCCAAGATGTGTTAGAATGAGGAGGAGAACCAGAAAGAAGTAATTGCATTAGAACCAAGGGCATTGCAAAGAAAACATGGAAACAGCTCAGTTTCTAAGTAGATGATGACTCACTATGTGATCCTCAACTATGCAATTGGATTTGGGTGAATTCTTCATATTTGAGGACTGAAAACAATGGAATAGTAATAAAAGCAGAAAACCAAAATGATTAGAATAGGTACAAAGAGAATTTACAAATTGCACCATATCAGTGTTTAAATAACTTAAAAATAGAAAAGATTATTTTGTAGGACCAACTCAGATGTCTAATCATATTTATGTGTTGAGATCTTTTTTTCTCCTAGTCTCACTCACATTACCTACTCAAATAAAAGCAAATATTTAGTGTTTTTTTTTGAAATAAGGGTATATGATACAGTTTCTGAGCTTGGCCAGAAATTACCTTGGTGAAGTTTTTGCAGAAAAGGAAATGAGTTCTTTTGCCTTCCTCTTAAACCCACGTATACATTTTTATAGGAAGTGGGGTACCACAGTAGCTAAAAGCTGAGTTTCTAGATTCCTTAACCTGAACAAAACAGATTTGAATCTTGGCTCTTCCTAGGCACATTCTATATTGGAAAAACGTTCTATGGGCCCTAGATTCTACACCTGTAAAATGTAAATGATTTCTTTTTCTGGGAGGGTTGGACCAAGAATTGAACTCAGAGGCTCTAGACCATTGAGCCATATCCCAGCCCTATTTTGTATTTTGTTCAGAGACAGGATCTCACTGAGTTGCTTAGCATCTTACTTTTGCTGAGGCTGGCTTTGAAATTGTGATCCTCCTGCCTCAGCCTCCCAAGCTTCTGAATTACAGGCCTGTGCCACTGCACCCAGAAAAATGTAAATAATTTCTAAGTACTTCATGAAATGATTTTGGAATTATATTCCCAGTGAAAAGAGGTTTGTGTAATAGGCATTCAATAAACACTATTGTTCTTGAATTCTGATAAAAGACTGGATTTGGAGGGCTGTAGAAACAATTTATTTATCTTCACTTTGACCCCATAACTTGAGCAGCTAAGAATTGAATGTATTATTTGGCTTAAATTAAAAACCAACAAGAATTCTTAAACCGCTATCATTCTGTTTAACCAAATTCCCTACTGAAAACAAATTCTCCAATTTCAGTCCCTTCAGGAGATTTAAAGACAATTCCACAAGCCCACACTTGCCTTGCATTGTTCCTTAGGGTTTGTCTTTTCTGTAATCCAATGAAAAGTTCAGGGGGAGGGGGAAGGGCAGAGGCCTATATAGTATGAAACAAATGCAAACAAAATAAAATAAAGCTGAGTCTCTTTCCCATTGTGACACTGTTCAAAGTCCCCTCAAGCCAAACAATCTTCATATATCACTTAAGTATGTAATATGGAAGAAAAGATTTCCGTTGTAAAACAAACCAGATCTTGAGAGAGCTGAGAATCATTGAGATGTGGGTCTCAGGCCTGGGATAGTTTTGCAGAATTGTCCTGAAAACAATTTTAAACCTGAAGAGTTTCTCTATTTGAATGGCCAGGTAAGACAGAATGAAGGGGCTTAAGAGCTGAAAAAGATTTAAGAGATCATTTAGTCTAATGTTTTCATTTAAAAATCAGGTAGATGAAGCCATTCACTCAGTAACACAACCCACTATCCTATGAGGACAGAAGTCCCAGGTCTCTGTGTTTCCAAAGCCTCATGCTTTATATTGTCCTAGTGTGTGGGGCTAGCTTTTCCACAACAACTATGGTAACAGAAGACTCTTTACAGGCAAGATAAATTATGTTTTAGCATTGAGAAATTAGTTGTAGCATCCCAAAGACTGAACTTTCCATCCAACCACCATTGGAAAGAATTGATAAAATGCCATCCAATGAAATAGTAGGTTGATATGAGTTTTGGGAGTAGTTATAACTGAAAATTGGGGTGAAGAAGACGGTGCTTATGGAAAATAAAACACCTCATTTTTAATATATAAAATATTGGCCTCTGAAGTAACATTTAAGTATAATGATAAACATATCTCATTTTCACTCTAGCATTTAATTATTTTACTATAGTCTCCTTAAAGTTCATTCTAAATTATGTGCCTTATAATTTTTCCTTCTTTGTCTATTTCTCCAAAAGTATAACTTTAGGATACCTGGAAATGAAAAGAGAAATTAAAAGTATGTTTCTCTACGAACTGTACATATCCAATACCAGGTCAGATTAATTGCCAGTAATTAATGAGCAATTAATTACTGTTTGAAGATCTTCAGGAGGAAGAAATGATAGAAGAAGAGAAAGGTGGAACTGAATATTATCACATGGAAGCAGTTTTTATGCAGAAGGCCACTGAAATTACATGTTATCAAAATATTAGGGCTTTTTTTGATCAAATTCTGGTAAGACAGTAAACTTAGGTGAATGTCCAAACTTGACACCTACTACCTCTGTGCTACTTGCAGGAATATATATAAATACTCCTAACAGTCCCTGGCACCAGCAACCAGCATCTGGTAGATATTTGATTAAAAGTAACTAGGATCATAATCACTTGTCTCCTAAATGTATTCTTAGTTACAGTGCATACAGGTAGTTAGTATTAGATCTATGAACAGATTTTGTGTCTCACTCTTGCATTATATTTCTTTATATTTCTTTATGTCACATGAAGATAAGACGTATGATTTACGCGTATTCCTTAACTTTTGCCTAGTCTACTTTCTGTATTTGTAAAAATATCAGTCACTAAAAGCATAATTTATTAGGGAGAGTTACTGATTTTTTAAGACAGATGATAACATAATACAGTTATTGGAAATTTTATGATATCCTTAACAGTTTTTAGGCAGTTGTCACAATATTAGTTCGTTGAGTGGAAGGAAGGTTAATTGAACTCTTAATTAAGGAAGGTACACGTGGAAATGCCATGCACTGAACAAGCACAATTAAAGTTCTTTTGTGAAACTCTCAAAAACTCAACATAACTCAGAGTTCATGGAACAATGCAAACAAGACACTATGGCAGGCTGGTGAAGAAATAGATCAAATTTAATGTTTCTGGGAATCACTGAATTTCCAGTTTGTGTATTTTTACAGCCCCAAATCACACCATTAAAAATTTCATTTCTTTTTATTGTATAGCTGCTTCTAATGGGGAAGACTTATCTAAAACAGACAGACATAATGAATTCACAGGGTGTAAATTTATTTTTTAGGTTTTCTAACATGGCAAGAATTTGAGAAAAGATGTGTTTGAATAAAATGTGGATCTCTGAGTCCATAAATTCAGAAAATAATGAAAAGAAGAAAAGGGAGTATCAAAATACAAGTGTAATTCTGTAAGAATTGGGGGCAGGGAAACCCTTTAAGTTCCATCACTAAAAAGAAAGAACAGGATCACAGTGTAGTGTTGTGGAGATGAACCTCCCACAGTGCTGCCCTCCAGGGAGAAGTCAATGAATATTCCTTTAAGTGTACCATGTTCAAGTTTTCACATAAACAATCACATGCCATACATCATAAAATTTCAATATTGTGTAACTTTTTAAAACTGTAGCATACCTCTTTGCCTGCAGATACCTTCTCTTACAAGGATGTTCAACATAAATGCACATTTACTAAGTCATCATTACCCCTAAAGTGTCTTTCAGAAGTGTTCTTTGATCTCATCACACTGTTCTACACTTCCTAACAGAAATTTCTATGTTAACAAAGTGAATGAAGCCCGGTGTGGTGGCACACGCCTGTAATCCCAATGGTTTGGAGGCTGAGGCGGGAGGACCTCAAGTTCAAAGCTAGTCTCAGCCAAAGCGAGGCACTAAGCAACTCAGAGAAACCCTGCCTCCAAATAAAATACAAAATAGGGCTGGCGATGTGTCTTGGTGATTGAGTGCCCCTGAGTTCAATGCATGCTACAAAAAAAAAAAAAAAAAAAAAAGAATGAAACCTAAATTTCAAAATGTAGTTCTAGTTTGGTTGCTATATAATTTCAGTGTATAGAGTTCTTCCCCCATTATTCAGGAACTGAGATACATATTTAAAATTATTAAAAATAAGTGGTCAAGCCCATTGTAAAACCACGATCAAATATAACATGACATAACATTTAGCTCATTCTTATTTACTGTTGAATTTAGTTTCTTTTAGGTATATCTTTGGAATTCCTCCCTTGATCCTTGCTCTGTTACCAGTAACTTCATCTGATTGTGATATTAAAGGTAAAGAAGGTAAAGAATTTGAGCATGTTCTAATGATCAGCTTCAATGAATTGGTATGTGCTTTTTTTGTTTTTCTTACATTTTTGCTCATTGGGAAAATATCATATATATTTTTGGCATGCCATTTTATAATCAAGTATCCATCTATATTTATGGACAAAAGTGAAATAACTACTAAAATAAAATGTAATGTACCGATAACTATATATTTTATTAGTTCCATCATTATATTTTAATGTCCTTTAAAAATAAATCTTTCCTAGACCCTAAGACTCTCACTATCCGTTTCAGTCTTGTTACCCTTTATGATCAAATTTCTCATAAGCATAATTCATTATTACTACCTGCATTTCCCCATCTCACCTTTATGGTGTTAGTCTTTGTAGACACATTACATAAGGAGAGGTTGAATAACAGAGGACAATATCTAAAAGTCAAGGTGTAAAAAAGTGTGTATTTTATCAGAATATGTATACATGCATATTTATGCATATATACTTTGTACATATGTATTATATATAATATCCTGAAAGTTAATTTTTATTTTCTGTAAACACTGTTTTTAATTAATCGATTTTATATTTTAGAACAGATTTTGATTTATGGAATATTTGAACAAAAATTAGAGAATTTCCATGTACTTCTCCCTCTGCACAGTTTTCCTTATTATTATCACTTTGCATTAGTGTAGTACATTTGTTAAAATTGAGGAATTATTATTAATACATTATTGAATCAAAGCTCATAACTGACATTAGGATTCACTGTTTTATTCAGTTCTGTAGGTTTTGGTAGAGGTATAATATCATGTATCCATGAGTATTGTATCACATAGAATTCATTTCACTGTTCTAAAAATTGCCTATGCTCCACTGACTCATCCTTCCCTTTCTCCCTCTGCACTCCTGGCAACCACTGATCTGTTTACTGTCTCTCTAGTTTTTCCCTTTCTAGAACGTTATGTAGTTGGAATCATGCAGTCTGTAGCCTGTTTAGGCTGGATTCCTTTACTTAGAAATGTGCATCAAAAGTTCTTCCATGCTTTTTTGTGGCTTGGTAGCTCATTTATTTTCTTATTGTAGAATAATATTCCATTCAATGGATAGGCTACAGTTTATCTATTCACAGATGGAAGGATGTATCCTGGTTGCTTCCAAGTTTGGGCAATTATAAATAAAGGCTTCTGTAAACATACATGTGCAGTGTTTGGTGAGAACATTAGTTTTCTATTCATTTGGATAAATATCTAGGAGTCTGATTGCTGAATCATATGGTGTGTTACTCAGCTTTTCCTCACTGTGACCAAAATACCTGACAAGAACAACTTAGAGGAGGACAGATTTATTTTGGTTCATGGTTCCAGATGTTTCAGTCAATGCTTAGCTGGCTTCTTTGGCTTGGGCCTGAGACAAGGCTGAACATCATGGTGGAAGGGTGTGGCAAAGGAAAGCTGCCTAGCTCTTGGTGGCTAGGAAGAGGAGAAAGAAGGAGGGGAGGGAGGGAGAAAGAGAGGAAGGAAGGAAGGGAGGGATGGAGGAGACAGAAGACAGAGAAGGGGGCCAGGGACAAGATATAGTCCCCAAGGGCATGCCCATAGTGATCTACTTCCTCCAACCATGCCCCACCAACCTATAGGTTCCACCTCCTCCTAGTAGTCCATTCAAATTATTAATTCATGAAATGGATTAATCAACTGATAGTGTGAGAGCCTCAGATTCAATCACTTCTCAGAAGCCCCATCTCTGGACATTACTGTGGAACTTTGGAGGGGCCTTCCAGAGCCAAACCATAACCAATTATAAAATTATGCTTAGCTCTGTATATAACTGCCAAAGTGCCTTCTAAAGTGACTGTAACATTCCACATTCTCCCAGAAGTGAATAAAAGCCTAAGGTTGTTCACCCATGCCAGCATCTGGTATTGTCAGAGTCTGGGACTTTTGCCATTGTTGTTTTAATTTACAGTTACCTAATAATATGATGTTGAACATCTTTTCAGATTCTTACTTCAATCTATGTATCTTTATGGGTAATGTATATGAACTCACATCTGAACTGACATCTCAACAATACTGAGTCTTGTAGCCATATCCTATAACAGCTCTGCATTTGTTTATATCTTTCTTTGATTTATTTGATCAGAATTTTGTACTTTTTTATATAGGTCCTGTATTTATTTTGATAGAATTATACCTATTTCATATTCTAAGGCTTTTGAAATATGATGTTGTGTTTTTGCAATGCAAATAGTAGTTTTAAAAGGAGGAAGAGCAACCACCACCCTATTATTTCAAACATACTGGTTGTGAGCCACATTTGGAAATGAATAGACATACATTGTGGTATAACACAGATCAGTTTCAACTGAAGGGAAAGTGCATGTTGGTGCATACTGAGCTGATCTCCAATATATTTAGATAGTATACCTTTTAAGTAAAATTTGTTGAGCCTGCCCTTCCCATACAAATTTAGCATTTGTTTATTTAGTATAATATCCTCATGGTAACTTCTATGTACATTAATAATGATATACACAGAAATAAAAATTATATAAAATGAAGTAAAAAAACTAGATAAAATTGCTAACATTTTCTTCAAGTGGACATAGAATAGAGTTATAGTAGTAAAAATATGGAAATTATTCTAACTCTAATCTGAAGTCCAAACAGGGAACAGGATAAGAATGAGATTCATTCTTTCTACTTATTGCAGAGGGAAAGAAAGTTTCATAATATATGATAAGGTACCTTACTCTATATGATCTGCCAAGCATGGAGTACAGATTCATAGAATTGGAGTGACTAAATTAAATAGAATCAGCATTTTAGGTTTCTTGATACATGTTGCCAAACTATTTTATGGAAAGTATGGATAGGTTTATAATTCTTTTTTTTTTCAGATAAAAAAAAAACTTTATTCAAGGTGAGAGCAGAGATCCCTCATAGAACAATTCATTTTATTTAAATATATATTCTGGATGGTTTTCTTTAACACATACCTGATTTTGTTTTTAGTACTGAGAATAGAACCCAGGGGCACTCAACCACTGAGCCACATTCCCAGCCTTTTTTTAAAAAAAAATATTTATTTTTTAGTTATAAGTGGACACAATATGTTTATTTTATTTTTATGTGGTGCTGAGGATCAAACCCAGTGTCTCATGCATATTAGGTGAGCGCTCTACCTCTGAGCCACAACCCCAACCCCCTAAAAATATTTTATTTAGACACAGGGTCTCACTGAATTGCTTAGAGCCTCACTGTGATGATAAAACTGGCTTTGAACTTGCCATCATCCTGCCTCAACCTCTTGAGCCACTAGGATTACAGGGATTACAGGCAAGTGCCACTGTACCTGTGTACACACACACACACACACACACACACACACACACACACACACATATATATATATATAGTCTTGTATTTTTTTTTAATTTTTTATTGTTGGTTGTTCAAAACATTACAAATTTCTTGATATATCATATTTCACACTTTGATTCAAGTGGGTTATGAACTCCCATTTTTACCCCATATACAGATTGCAGAATCACATCAGTTACACATCCATTGATTTACATATTGCCATACTAGTGTCTGTTGTGTTCTGCTGCCTTTCCTATCCTCTACTATCCCCCCTCCCCTCCCCTCCCCTCCCCTCTCCTCTCTCTACCCCCTCTACTGTCATTCATTTCTCCCCCTTGTATTATTTTTCCCTTTCCCCTCACTTCCTCTTGTATGTACTTTTGTATAACCCTGAGGGTCTCCTTCCATTTCCATGCAATTTCCCCTTCTCTCTCCCTTTCCCTCCCACCTCTCATCCCTGTTAAATGTTAATCTTCTTCTCCTGCTCTTCGTCCCTACTCTGTTCTTAGTTACTCTCCTTATATCAAAGAAGATATTTGGCATTTGTTTTTTAGAGATTGGCTAGCTTCACTTAGCATAATCTGCTCTAATGCCATCCATTTCCCTGTAAATTCTATGATTTTGTCATTTTTTAATGCAGAGTAATACTCCATTGTGTATAAATGCCACATTTTTTTATCCATTCGTCTATTGAAGGGCATCTAGGTTGGTTCCACAGTCTTGCTATTGTGAATTGTGCTGCTATGAACATCGATATAGCAGTGTCCCTGTAGCATGCTCTTTTTAGGTCTTTAGGGAATAGACCAAGAAGGGGAATAGCTGGGTCAAATGGTGGCTCCATTCCCAGCTTTCGAAGAAATCTCCATACTGCTTTCCAAATTGGCTGCACCAATTTGCAGTCCCACCAGCAATGTACAAGTGTACCCTTTTCCCCACATCCTCGCCAGCACTTGTTGTTGTTTGACTTCATAATGGCTGCCAATCTTACTGGAATGAGATGGTATCTTAGGGTGGTTTTGATTTGCATTTCTCTGACTGCTAGAGATGGTGAGCATTTTTTCATGTACTTGTTGATTGACTGTATGTCATCCTCTGAGAAGTGTCTGTTCAGGTCTTTGGCCCATTTGTTGATTGGGTTGTTTGTTTTCTTATTGTCTAATTTTTTGAGTTCTTTGTATACTCTGGATATTAGGGCTCTATCTGAAGTGTGAGGAATAAAGATTTGTTCCCAGGGTATAGGCTCCCTATTGACCTCTCTTATTGTTTCTTTTGCTGAGAAAAAATTTTTAGTTTGAGTAAGTCCCATTTGTTGATTCTAGTTATTAACTTTTGTGCTATGGGTGTCCTATTGAGGAATTTGGAGCCCGACCCCACAGTATGTAGATCGTAGCCAACTTTTTCTTCTATCAGACGGCGCGTCTCTGATTTGATATCAAGCTCCTTGATCCATTTTGAATTAACTTTTTGCATGGCGAGAGAAAGGGATTCAGTTTCATTTGGTTGCATATGGATTTCCAGTTTTCCCAGCACCATTTGTTGAAGATGCTATCCTTCCTCCACTGCATGCTTTTAGCCCCTTTATCAAATATAAGATAGTTGTAGTTTTGTGGATTGGTTTCTGTGTCCTCTATTCTGTACCATTGGTCCACCTGCCTGTTTTGGTACCAATACCATGCTGTTTTTGTTACTGTTGCTCTGTAGTATAGTTTGAAGTCTGGTATCGCTATACCGCCTGATTCACACTTCCTGCTTAGCATTGTTTTTGCTATTCTGGGTCTTTTATTTTTCCATATGAATTTCATGATTGCTTTCTCTATTTCTACAAGAAATGCCGTTGGGATTTTGATTGGCATTGCATTAAACCTATACAGAACTTTTGGTAATATCGCCATTTTGATGATGTTAGTTCTGCTATCCATGAACAGGGTATATTTTTCCATCTTCTAATATCTTCTTCTATTTCTGTCTTTAGGGTTCTGTAGTTTTCATTGTATAAGTCTTTCACCTCTTTTGTTAGGTTGATTCCCAAGTATTTTATTTTTTGTGAAGATATTGTGAATGGAGTGGTTGTCCTCATTTCCATTTCAGAGGATTTGTCGCTGATATACAGGAATGCCTTTGATTTATGCGT